TTTGGTTTTTGTCTGATTTAATTTTGGTTATTCTTGTTGTGCATACAAAACTGAGACACATTTTTGAAGCTCTTAGGAAGTGCAGAGTGCCAAAATGAATTATCCTTAAGACTGTAAGAATCATGCAAATAGCAGTCTGCATATTACTTATACAGTGGGCTCAGTTGAAATTGAGTGAGGGGACGGAGCCTACCACATGGATGGATGTAACGTTCCGAATCAAGAAGCTTAACTTTGTATGGTCAAAAGCTGTGCATCACCTCAGTGACAAAAGCTTGATTAAGCAGTTAAAGGTATTCTCGTTTATACTTTATATCTTTTGTTGCTGTAAAATTCGTGGAAGGAAAAATAGAGAGTTGTAGATATTATGATGATCAACGTTTTCTGCTTGTATTTTTTTCTACCTTTGTTGGTAGTTTTCGCATCTTTATTTGTCCAAAATTGATTTCCAGAATGAATTAGATAAATTCGATTCACTTTACTTGTCTGCCAAAGCAGGAACTATAAAGAATTCAAAAATGTCGATAGAAGATTTAGACAACAAGCTTGAAAAACTTCTTGAAAAGTATGGTTTGGAATCTGCTCTAACTGCGTATTTGAAGGTATATGTATGACTTGTAAGTGTTTATGTTCTTCACTTATGATATTTTGCAGTAACTGAATTTGAACGAAAACAGTTACGTTATCTCTTAAACAATAGTAGATGAACTGTCGATATTTTACAGAAATATAAATGGCAGAACGAAGAAGAAATGAAAAAAGCAAACAGTATCCTTCCGTCTGAAAAATTTACTGATCTGAAATTGCAAAAACTTTGGCATGCTGCGCTCAACTCTAAATTTTCAGAAGCTGCATTAAAAGGTATTAAAAATGAGTTGCATTTGTTGTTTACTATTAAAAAACGTTCAATAAAATTTGTTCTCTTGTGATTTTTTTCTCTACTTCCAGATTAATACGGTATTGAATTTCAGCTCTTCACAAAGAACTGAAAGATCATGAGCGTAAAATGAAACTCTATGACCAAAAGGTACAGGAGTTCAACAGAATGAGTGATAACACATTACTCGAAGACAATTTCGAAAGAAATGACCAGCTTAGTCGAGATTTGAAGGAATATTACAAAAGCATTACAGATTCGTATGACAAATTGCATCAAAAAATTGCTCAAGTATCACATAAAGTTTTTAATAACGAGAAGGTAGAGAATCTATGGCAGTTGGTCAGTGACTGTATATTTCTTATTTCAAGTCGTTTATTTCTTAGGCTTAGTGTTTAATTCGAAATTCGGGTATTTCCAGTTCAGATTTGTGTACATCTCTTTCAAAAGCTTTTAGAATTCCTCATTGACTAATGTGCCTACAATCTGTACATTGATCAATAATGAAATTAAAAGTGTGTTAGTAATAATTTGTAGTAACTTAAATTAACTTATATATATCTAATTCCAAAGCTACGAAGAAATTTCGAGTAAAATATGTGTGCAAGGATAAATCAGATTTCGTTTATAATTTAGGCGTTGCAAAATCCGAACTTTACTGCCTCAGAATTGGAATCTATACGTGTCGAACTGCGTCATTTTGATGGTCATCTTGATAAGTTGAAGTATCATAATGAAGAACTCGAAGCAGCAAAAGAAAAGCAAAAAAAGTTGGGGAAAATTAATGTTTTTGATGACGATGTTAGCAGTTTTGAACAAGAGAACAAGCGTTTGAGCCGTAAACTAAAGAAATTAGGAAATTATTTGGAAGAAAAAATTATTCATTCAGAGTTATGAGTATTTTAAGAAAATTACTTGAACTTGTTACCAAATATGTTCTATATAAGTAAACAAATGTTTTATCATGTTAAATGATGACTCCAATCTCTTAATATTATTCTTAATGCTAATTACTTGTGCTGACGTGCCTTAACTCTATGCATCAATCTATATTCAAGCTTTTTTAAGAATTTAAGTTCATAAATATGTGTCAAGTATAAAACAGATCTATTAAAAAAAAGTAAAGGAAGTTTTACTGAGCACGTTTTCTGCGTTTGTTTTTTTTACTTTGGAATTTTTATAATTTGGTACAAAATGTCAACAACTAATCATTTATGTAACGAAGTTCAAGATATGAAATTTTGTTTCTTTTGAGATCGACTATGATGTATAATTTTAGTGTATGTTTTTTTGTTTCATATTCAAACATAATTCGAGACATTTTCGGAGACCAGAATTCTCGACGTTTGACTGTTATATGCAGAAGACCAGAAAAACTTATTTTTTATTCTCTCTTGAGGTAGATGGTCATGTACATTACTCAAATATTCAGTTTGTCATCCAGTAAAGCTTAATTTCAAGCAGCAAGTGTTTGCCATTCATATTCGTATAATTTATACCTTTATACAACATTTACCCATCCTTACTTGCATGTTTCTTGTCCATTACCGGCACCGTGCTTCTAGAAAAGCGCTCGTGAAGTAATCAGTTTTTTTCTCAAAATCGTGGGAAGTAGCTACATAGTGAAAATGTCAGTAGATCTCCCCTCATATTGTGGCGAGTGCTCTAAGGTTAAAGCAAATTTTTACCGGGTCACTTTGTCTGACATAAGTTGTTTACTCTAAGAAAGTGTCGGTATCTTGTTTTGTAGTATGATAGTTTGTGGATGCTGGAATGCGATTTTGTGAGTGTAGGGGATTGGCATGTCTTAGCTGGTTTTCGTCATATCACCTTTGCTAATCAGTGTTCTGGTAAACGACTAACGCATAATTTATTTGAATAATAAATATGCAACCTACAAAAAGATGGCATTAGGCAACTTCGAATAATTACTATGGATACCGGTTTAACCGCAGTATCCGGAATATATTCTGTACTTAGTGAGCATGAGATACAGCAGTATTGAAATAAATTTGTTTCTCCTGTTTAAAATTCAAAAACAAACTATAACATTTGGTACTCCATCGGATAATTTCTGTTTGCTGGGAACATGCAATTCCGTTTTCACCCCAATTATTTGGTAATATACTTGTGAGCAGAAATTGGAACTTGTATCGGCCTAATTACTTGTAGGCAGGAATTGGAACTTGTATCGGGCTAATTACTTGTGAGCAGTAATTGGAAATTGTATCGTACTTGTGTTGCCAATAATCTTATAGGGGAACGAAGTTTCAGAATTTGGATAAAGATTTCCTTGAACTGAAGGCTGGCTAATCTGAAGCTAATAACTCTGTGGTGGTATTAGTAGCAATGGTTTAATTCTACAATTGCTACCAAAGGTGGTAACTTTTTTGCTGCCATCGAGTTAATTTCTCTTCTGACCAAAATTGTCACTACTACAATTATTGTTGCTTTCAAAATTAAAGTTGCTATAAATGCTGGTTGCTGCATCTCTGAGTAACCATTCTTAGTGTTGTTACATCTCTAAAGATATTCTGAGCAGCATTTGACAAGGAATTCGGAATGTCTCTTACATTTCGGGTGGTTTGATTTACTTTTGGTTTGTCAGATTAAACACTGGCCCTGACTCTAAATAAGTTTGACGGACATTCTTATTGTGCTGTGTAGATTTAAAATGATTCCAATAATTGAGTACTTTTGTGTACAATGTAAGTTTGCAAACTTCGCCACTTAGAGTAAAGAACACTTAACTTCCAAAGTTCCAGTTTTCACTAGGCTTTTTCGTCCTCAATTCTGAGCTGATTAAGTATAGATTACATATCTGTACATTTTATTTACTCGCAATGATCATGGAAAAGGAAATGAGAAATTGAATGTTAAAATTGATGAGATGAATCTTAGAGCAGAAAAAATTCAAGAACGATTACTATTTGTATGAAAACTTTTATGCAGCTCTCGGCAAAAGTTCTAAGGTTTGGAGAAAAGTCGAGGTGCATCTGATTTACCGGGTAATTCTTGCAGTGAGATCCATTTTGACTCGAAAATTTGACGTTGGCGCTGATCTGTTATAGGTTCTGCTATTTCACTAATAACATTGAAATGATTCCTGCCAAATCTGTTTTCGTTTGCATTATCATTCACATTGAGACTCAACCGATTCTTCCCTATAAAATGAAGCAATATTGTTCAAACTGATCATTTCTGCTTCATCGCTTAATTTTACTCACCATTACTTATAATTGATTCTAGGAAGTTATGTTTTTGCTCTGGAAGTTTAAATTTGAAATTGGTGAGTAATCAAATAAATAAACGTGAGGACGATCAGTCATGAAGCAAGATAAAGTGTTTACGTAGATACTAATGTATAATTGGGCATTTGTGGACAGATTTTTTCATTATTAATGAATTAACAAAAATATCTGGAAACATGCAAAACTAGGTTCTAATCAATATGTGGTATGAATCTGAAATAGTTTTCTAATAATTAGAAAAGTAATTGTTTTCAAGAACTGAAGTAAGAAATTGTACAAACCATCATGACCAAAGCGTTCAAAGTCAAGTTGGTGCTGTCTTTTCGCGTATGCTGCAGCAAAGGAACGCCATTCCGGTACGAAAATATAAAAACAGTCACGACGTACTATATTTAGAAATGATTCTGCTCGTAAACGATCGCGTTCAAGACCAAGTTCAGGCAAGCAAAAATCGTAACATTCACTACACTTTTGCTCTGAACATTTTTTTGTGTACTTCATAAAATTTAGATAGCAAGTAATCATCTAACATTACGATTGGGTTCATTATTTGGGTACTTAAAAGTCTTTATTTTATAAGTACTTGTCTCAATCCCGTAGTTCCCTAAATCAAAATTTCACCTCTTTGATTGACTTCAGTGTAGTTGAGTAAAATCCATCGTGATCCCTCGCAGTCAGCAATGGATGGGTCGAAGATTGTAGATACATCATCGAAATATGATACAGGCACAAAGTGCCATACTTCTTCCCAACCTTGAGTTTGTTCTTTGCGCTATCAGTGTGAATATTCATTATGAGTAAGTTGAAAGGTCAGTAAATTTGATGATTTAACTTTCATTTTCAAGTACTGATTTACCTGATAACTATTACACAGTATGAAAGACACAATAATCGTTGAATTGCGTAAGAGTTTCCAGAAATGCAACCTTAAAAGCATTTTGAGCTCCAAGTTCGAGAGCAGCTCTGTCCGGCATTGATGAAATATTCATGTTCATAACGAAACAAATCAAATTTTTGCCACTGTTTTTCAGTGATGAGTCGATTATCGCTATTTTCCTCTGAATTTTATCTTTTACAACGATTGTCACATGCACGGGAATTCTCAGCAAGAAATTGTTACAGAGTTTTTGAACACAAATCTGCCCACGATTCCGAGTCAGTGAATTCAGAAACTTGTTCATCGAAATTTGAGCATCTTCTTCAGCATCACTATTCTTTTGCTCTTTGAAATCAATCAAATTCTAGCCGACTTCTCACTACTCACACTAGACCAATGTATTGGAACATTTTTACCATGTTCACGATAACGATAAAATACACAAATTAACCTTCTTAAAATCGTATAGAAGCAAATAATCATTTTTGAGCGGGAGGTTTCCTCGGATTTTGAACCGAACTTGATGGCCATCCTCATACATAATTACGTCTGTAGGGTATTTTTGTTGAAGACGAAATGCCACAGGTGGCAACCAAGAAAACTTCAGTGATTCTTCCTCAAAAAAAAATGAAAAGTGAGCAAATTTTGCATATGCTAACGATTTCAAGACTATAATTACACATTGTTTTAACTTATCGTAATAACATTCATAATTTTCGAATTTTGAAAGTCGTTCAAATCAAATTTTTGAATATAATGCCCAAATAAATAAGCAAGACAGTGAAGCGTTGAAACTTGAAGTTTTCTGAACAGAGCAAGTGAAAAATTGATAAACTTGACACACTAATATAATACCATTGCAAATGACGCCAAAATGGACAGTACTGTTAACAGTTCACTAAAAAATGAGACAAACAAGCTTACGTCAAGGAATTTTTCCTTGCGCTAGGAGGGAATGACAAGTGTACAACTTTCACAAAAAATCCTTTTTTCACCCTTTTTAAACAACCCAAAGAAACTAATGGCCTCTAATAAAAGTGAACTTACTGTGAGGGGCAAGCCAAAAAGTAAAATAGCGACTGTCAAGCAAAATGCGAGAGTCAACAAAAGTATTAGAAATGCCGAGAAGTTGTTTTTTGGCTCCTTCAACCACTGTCTTACTTGCTTAATGCACCGCTTTGTCGTCCGACAATACATTGCCGATTTCTGCGAGTTCTTTAGATTACACATCGAATTACAATTCTGAAATTTCAGTTTTTTGATTCGTCACTTTTTGCTTGAAAAGCTCCAAAAAAGGCATTTCTAACATTCTTTTAGCATTCTTTCAAAGTTAGCTCATTTTCACTCTTATTAGATACTGATTCTATAGGAAAAATATCAGTGATGACTGTAGAAAGTGAATAATTTTGTTTACAAGATTTTGTTGAATTCCCAGCTGCTTTCAGTTTTTTGTTTCAATGAATTTTCTTTGACACAAGTATCCATCCACCTTGTTTTAACATTGTTTGCCATTACTTTTAAATGAAATGCAAATATTTGCTCTCGAGAGTATTTGAAAGTTTGTATTCTTTAGGGTAAGTAAATCATTTAGCCTTTGTAATCCATCACAGAAATCAAGGTCAAGCAAAGCACCTCAGTTACAAATCATTTGATGCAGAAATAACGTTAAAATAGTACGCTGGACAAATATGAACTACATTCTGAGCATTGGGAGAAGCACTATGAATTTGAGAACTCATGAAATGCCATATTATAGCAAAAATTTAACTCAAATATCAATCGATTTTTACTTTTTTAATCCAAAATCACAGTAACGATTTTTAACAAAAGAAGCATATGAGTGAAATGTATGCAAGACTGAATTAAAAGTGTTGCTCATCACCAAGTTTGAAAAATAAATTAATTTGGAATTACCATAAGATCTGTTTGACTTTCATGTTATTTCATGTAGCTGTTATAATCAAAATGTATCATCGAGAAAAAAATAGTTTGCAGAGATAGAGAAGCAAGTACGTATATGAGTCCATCGACGTATATGAGTCTTATATCTGCTTGGGGTGAAATTGGAAAAAGAAAACTGCATGAATTCAAATTGTACATCATAACATGACTGAGTATTTTCATTTTTGTACTTCAAACTTATCAAAAAGAATGAGGGAATAAGTCAGGAATTTCAATGTAAATTAGCGGAAAGCATACGGATGAGTCCAACTTTGATATAGCAATGGGGTCGCCAGCTGCGTTTAATTGATAAAACGGCGTGAAATGTTTTGCATATCGTCCGCTTAAGTTATATCTTTCAAGATAATTGTTGTTTTTTGCACAAGAATTTGGCACTTGAGAGACATGTCGCGAATAAGGCATGCTGTCTTCAATACCAGCACTGGTTCTTGTCAAGGGCACTGAACATGAAGAATCTGAATAATGCGGGAAATCACTGCGATTCAGGTCAGCATGCTTTTCAATTAAATTAGCCCAGGAATATCGTCTCTTGATACATGGACCGACTGTTGCTGGGAAGGATGAAGACTCGTTGCTGATGAACGTACCACTGTCATCAGCATTTGTTGATGAACGATATGACGGAGGTGGGCAACCTGAAATCAACATATCCAAAGCGGAAGGTTTCGATAAACCATTCGAAAGCATTTTTTTTGCAGTTCTTATTTCTTGCAAAATAATTGCTGAATAAAACTTCTTAAAGTAAAGAAAATCTCTACATTGCTGATTACATGATAATAATCAGGAAAATTGAAGCAGCGTAATATAAGTAAATAAATATCTAATGCTATCTACATACTTAATTACTAAATTAATGCTGAAGGATAAAGATAGCTGCAGGATTTTTAAGTGAATGAAAATGCAGCTAAATAATGATTATACTTGATGGTAGATATTATCAGGTCATGTATATGCGATATCAATGGCTCATAATTATTAGACACAATTAATTTATATCGAATGATCGTCTCCTAATTAAAATTATACTTACTTGATAGTACTTCCCATCAAGTTTAAGTGAGACAGCATGAAAGAGTTGCAATGGTTATGTAGAGATGAAAAATTTACCTGAGAAAATAGATAGTAAGCTGAGAGTCGGGTGAGGTCGAAGACGGGGCTCAGCATGAAGTCGTTGCAATTGGCAGTTGTTGGTGGAAGAGGGCACGCTTGACATAAATTTCTGAGCAACGTTCATAAAAGGAAAACATCATCAAATTCAAGAAGGCATAACAATATCTCAACTCTTTCTACTTTACTCATTTTTCCTTTCTGTTGCATTTGCTCGTAAATGGATAGAAATCAGTGATGGAAGGGGAAGCGAGCAGTAAACCTGTCTTTTGCTCATTATTTCTCTCAAGACACAGATAGATAGATAGATAGATAGATAGATAGATAGATAGATAGATAGATAGGTGTATATAGTGAGTAAATGTTTATTGCAAGATCGTACATTAAATAACTGAATGAATTGGTTGAATCATTTTAAGGGTGCACTTTGATTTTGAAGATAAAATTATAAGGACTGAGCAAATGATTGAGGAAAGTTGCAAAGATATGGTGGTATGAATGGTAGAATTTATCAGTTTGTTCTCACGTAAAAATAGACGTAAAATCTTGAAGGGACCCTTTTCTGACCTTCATTGATTCTTTCCTTTCAAAGACATTTATTTCTTTTCTTTATTTATCAATCAATCAATTCAAACATTCCACTGGCAAGTGACTGCTGACCATTTTCTTTTCTTATGTGATTAGAGAGGAAGCAATGACCTTCTACTGACCCGAAATGACCAATTTATCCTTCTTGCGCGGCACAAGTAGGAAAACATTCCTTAACTGTTTGTTTACTTATCTTCACCATTTCGAAGGAAACCACCTTTCAGTATATGAAAATTTTCACTTTATGAAAAGTCATCGTGTAAGAAAACTGATCCCGATGGGTGGAAAATTTCATATTCTAAATCAAAACGGTTTTCAAAAACAGTAAGAAAATCAGTGGTGAAGATTGAAATATTGATAGTTTTGAATTTTCTTACAGGCTATTTTGTTTTTAAAGAGAGCTTGTAAAAATTTTCTTTTTTCCATTTAAATTACATAAG